TAACGGATCGCCTGGCACCCCGACTGGGTACCTCCGTTGAAAGATGCTCCTAGCGCTTCCTGAGGACTCCAAGCACTGCAGCAGACACCACAACCACCGAACCGGAGAAGCATATGAATCCTCTCAAGCATATGAATGCTGTAGACAGTTGAATAGGAACCATACGAATAGGTTTACTCTCCTAGCAGTCCAACTGGAACAGCATACAATAAATCCTTCCCCCAATAATGAGACGACACTTCACTTTGAGGGTTAAAACAGGAACTCTCTGTACTGTCACATACAGTCTCTTTTATTCCCAATCCACAAACATAGTACAGCCCACAGGGCGTTACAAAACAACCAATCACATATCAGTTACATCCCACATATTCCCCCTTATCCTGAGAGGAAACTCAATTATACATACAGTTAAAACATACTTTCTACCCAACTTTCATAACTCCAAAACCATACATCACATTCACATAAAATTACATATTCACAATCAATCCATTCAGGGGAACAACATATATTCAAAAATGGCACAAATCAGACAAGGGGTTCAAAAGTTAGTAAAAAGTCCTTTGTGACTAAATGAAGCATGGCTTTCTGGCCCAAACCAGTTTCAGAGTCTTCTATCCTGGAGATAAGTAATTCAATTATCTCCCAGGATAGACACAAGACTCCATTAAGCACATGGTTGCAAAAAGACACAAAACACTTTAAAATACATAAAGTCACATTTACACATAACACACAGACATTTCACATATCCCCAGATAGCTGGGATCTGAGTGCACATTATTAGATGAATGGCACTCAGATCACACAAATAAGCCTTTCTGCAGGGGAAATAAACGGTTTAACCTGCAGGGCCATAGTCCAAAGGGAGCAGGCGAGCAACCAGGCTTCTCCAGTTCACAGTGGCGAGGTTGGTTTCGCCACACTTCTCCCCTTTACCAACTAGACTAACAGGGTATCTGACCTCCTGCCGGTCAGTGCCCTGGTTAGTCCAGCAACCCACCCACAAAACAGAAACAGCAGTACAGCCCACCCACAATAACTGGTTACTACACCTGGGTAGAGGAAAACTTTGTCCATGTCCAGGTGCCTCACCACGACTGTGTGGGCAACTGTTAGGCTGCCATGGTGGGTTGCTGAGTGGGCAGAGACCAGCGGTACTCTGCCCTGATGCCAGTGCTACCACGGAAGTAGCCTGGTGGGAGCCTGGTTGTGGGAGGGAGAGACCGACTGTCTCCCCTCTGGATACACCGCTCTGTGGCTGGGGAACAGGACCGACTGTCCCTATCCCTTGTGCTGTAAGTGCAGAGACTACAGTCCCATCTGCACTGTTGGGGGGTGTAACATCTCCCCTTGCTGGGTTAGGCTGCCGCTGGAGAGAAGGTGTAACAAGCTCCTCTCTCTGAACTGTAAACTGCCGCTGGGGAGAAGGGGTATCAGGCTCCTCTCCCTGACACTCTCTCTGCTGGTGGAGAGGGGGACCAGCTGTCTCCCCTTTCATTATTTTTTCCTGTGGTTGGGGTGCGAGACTGACGGTCTCTGCTCCCTGCAGGACACTCTGCCGCTGGGGAGGAAGGACGGCACCTTCAGCTCCCTGGGGTACACACTGCAGCTGGGGAGGAAGGACTGCACCTTCAGCTCCCTGGGGTACACACTGCCGCTGGGGAGGAAGGACTGCACCTTCAGCTCCCTGGGGTACACACTGCCGCTGGGGAGGAAGGACGGCACCTTCAGCTCCCTGGGGTACACACTGCTGCTGGGGAGGAAGGACTGCACCTTCAGCTCCCTGGGATATACACTGCCGCTGTTGAGGAAGGACGGCACCTTCAGCTCCCTGGGGTACACACTGCTGCTGGGAAGGAAGGACGGCACCTTCAGCTCCCTGGGGTACACACTGCCGCTGGGGAGGAAGGACGGCACCTTCAGCTCCCTGGGTTACACACTGCCGCTGGGGAGGAAGTACTGTACCTTCAGCTCCCTGGGATACACACTGCCGCTGGGGAGGAAGGACTGCACCTTCAGCTCCCTGGGATACACACTGCAGCTGGGGAGGAAGGACTGCACCTTCAGCTCCCTGGGATACACTGCCGCTGGGAGGAAGGACTGCACCTTCAGCTCCCTGGGATACACACTGCAGCTGGGGGAGGACTGCACCTTCAGCTCCCTGGGATTCTGCCACCTGCCCGGCTGGGGAGGAAGGACTGCACCTTCAAGCTCCTGGGATACACACACTGCCGCTGGGGAGGAAGGACTGCCTTCGGCTCCCTGGGATACACACTGCTGCTGGGGAGGAAGGACGACACCTTCAGCTCCCTGGGATACACACTGCTGCTGGGGAGGAAGGACGGCACCTTCAGCTCCCTGGGACACACACTGCCGCTGGGGAGGAAGGACGACAACTTCAGCTCCCTGGGACTCCTTTTTGGCCAAATCTACTAGAGATTGCAGGTATTCTCCTACTAGTTTCCTGGCGAGCTGCACGGCTCTCTCTGGGGGTTGGGTCCAAAGGTAGACAGCACCTCATTAACCTCTCTGTCAAACTCCTCCTGAGTGTAGTCATACGCCATGCTTGCTCTGCTGAAGTTAGTTCTTTGGTAGATAGGGTCGCTGTACGGGTACTAGCGTTGCCCTCAATTTGTAAATCCACAAACTGTGTCTCCGAGCTGCTTTACCTCGCACTAGGACGCCATCCCACCGCTTGCCACCAATGTAACGGATCACCTGGCACCCCGACTGGGTACCTCCGTTGAAAGATGCTCCTAGCGCTTCCCGAGGACTCCAAGCACTGCAGCAGACACCACAACCACCGAACCGGAGAAGCATATGAATCCTCTCAAGCATATGAATGCTGTAGACAGTTGAATAGGAACCATACGAATAGGTTTACTCTCCTAGCAGTCAAACTGGAACAGCATACAATAAATCCTTCCCCAATAATGAGACGACACTTCACTTTGAGGGTTAAGCAGGAACTCTCTGTACTGTCACATACAGTCTCTTTTATTCCCAAATCACAAACATAGTACAGCCCACAGGGCGTTACAAAACAACCAATCACATATCAGTTACATCCCACATATTCCCTCCCCTTATCCTGAGAGGAAACTCAATTATACATACAGTTAAAACATACTTCTACCCAACTTTCATAACTCTAAAACCATACATCACATTCACATTAAATTACACATTCACAATCAATCCATTCAGGGGAACAACATATTAAAAAATGGCACAAATCAGACAAGGGGTTCAAAAGTTAGTAAAAAGTCCTTTGTGACTAAATGAAGCATGGCTTTCTGGCCCAAACCAGTTTCAGAGTCTTCTATCCTAGAGATAAGTAATTCAATTATCTCCCAGGACAGACACAAGACTCCATTAAGCACATGGTTGCAAAAGACACAAAACACTTTAAAATACATAAAGTCACATTTACACATAACACACAGACATTTCACATATCCCCAGATAGCTGGGATCTGAGTGCACATTATTAGATGAATGGCACTCAGATCACACAAACAAGCCTTTCTGCAGGGGAAATAAACGGTTTAACCTGCAGGGCCATAGTCCAAAGGGAGCAGGCGAGCAACCAGGCTTCTCCAGTTCACAGTGGCGAGGTTGGTTTCGCCACAGGCGTCCTCGGCTAAATTAATTTGCCAGTACCCTTTACAAAGATCTATCGTGGTTAGGTACTTGCCTCTGGTCATCTTGTTTAAGAGCTCGTCTATCCGGGGCATAGGGTAGGTATCCGATACGGTTTTATCATTCAGCCTTCGATAATCTACGCAGAAGCGGGTAGTTCCATCCCGCTTCGGCACTAGTACCACTGGAAAAGCCCATAGGCTATCCGAATGTTCGATAACCCCTAACTGTAACATTTCCTCAATCTCCTTATGCATATTCTCTTTTACAGACTCTGGGATGCGGTAAGGAGGTTGGCGGATGGGCGTCTGCCCTGGGGTTTCTACCCGGTGGGTGGCTAATGGGGTATACCCTGGGAGATTGGAAAAGGTGGCCCCCTTTTCTCTAATTAAACCTTGGGCCTGGGTTCTCTCCTGAGGATTCAAGCGCTACCCTAGCTGTACGGCCTCCAGATCCTCATTTTGGCCTTCTCTCGCCAGGAGGTCTGGTAGCGGCAGGTTATCAACATCCTCAGCAGCAGAGGCACAGATCGCGGTTACCTCTTCTGTACGCTCGTGGTAGGGTTTCAGCATGTTCACATGGAGCATGTGTCTGCCTCCTGCGCCAGCGCACGGGCCAATTATATAGTTGGTATCGCAGATTTGCTCTACCATCTTGAATAGGCCCTGCCAGGAGGCCTGCAGCTTGTCACTGGGGATGGGTCGTAGGATTAACACTGTGACAGATCCCTCTGTCTTGAACTGAAATGACCGTATTTCTCATTCGTTTGTTTGATTCATGTTTCCCCGTTCCTGTGGACTCTATGCTGTTCCCTTTCTATGTACCGAATAAAACTACCGAACGGCCGGCCACCCAGTAGAGAAGTGTGCTGCTGGTTAACCTCTTGGCCCCATCAGAACGTTGAGGTTAACCTGCAGACACCTCTTAATTGATACGGTAGTTGGGTGGCCGCCATTCGTATACCGAACACGAGGTCGCGGCCATTTTAAACACGCGAACGCACAGCGGTGTTCGACGCCCAACTCATGGAACTCAAAACGGATACATTTTGGCACGAACACCGCTGAAGCCGCCGACCTCCCTTCTTTGTTAGAAAGTGCACGAACGGCCCTATATTCGGTAATTTGTACCTGAATACACCATACCCCAGATAAGCATCCCGTGGAGCCCATTTGTATGAAAACTGACTTTGTGAACACTTTTGCTCCATGGCGATTGGACTATGTGCATAGGATATGAGCGCTATTCGGTACTTTGGTGCGCTCAGATCCTAGCTATCTGGGGACATGTTGAATGCCTGTAAAATGTTATAAAATGTACCAGTTATGTATTTTCATGCCTTTGTTATTTTCATCTAAAATGGCGTTTAGGCTCTGTCCTGGGAGATAATTGAATTACTTCACAATTATCTCCCTGAGCAGAGCAGAGGGTTCTGGGTAAGAAAAGGGGAATGGCTAAGTGTGTACCCTGTGATTGGTTGCTACAATGTCCTTGTCACAGTCCCCCATTTGGTCCCCTAGGGGAGTGTCCACCATATGGGAGACTTGCATAAAAGCCGGGCATGTAGCCCTCATTAAACGAGATTCCTGCCAACCCTCAATACAGAGCTTTGTCTCGTCATTGGGGGTATTATTCGTATGGAGTACGCTTGTTCGGCTGTTTGGGAGAATATTTGATTTGTATGATTGCTGTTCGGCTGTTTGGGAGAATACTTGATTCATGTGATTGCTGTTCGGCTGTTTGGGAAACTAATTGATCCGTACGACTACTGTTCGGCAGTTGGAGCGCTCAGTGGCTACCTCTACGTTCGGTAAGGGAACATCCTATATGGCTGTATACCCTCTCCTACCGGGGGAGCCGTAACAAACACCTTATGCCCGACCTGAAAGCTGCGGTCCCTGGCCCCCCTATCATACCATCTGCGCTGTCATTGTTGGGCTGCCTGGAGGTTGTTACGTACTGTCTGGGTTAAAGCCTCCAAGCGCTCCCGGAACTCCAGTAAATATGGTACAATAGGGGTACCATTAGTGGTAACTTCCCCCTCCCAGTGCTCTCTAATTAAATGTAGGGGTCCCCTCACTCTCCTCCCAAACAATAATTCAAAGGGCGAGAACGTGGATTCTTGTGGCACTTCCCTATAGGCGAACAGCAAGTGGGGTAGAAACCGCTCCCAGTCTTTCTGCGTGTCTATGAACGTCTGGATCACCTGTTTAAGTGTTCCGTTGAATCGTTCACAGAGACCGTTGGACTGGGGGTGGTAAGGTGAGTTAAGGATAGATTTTACCCCACAGAGTGGGTGAAGGTGAATGGCAGAGTGGTAAACGGACTAAGAGACACAGGAGCCACCATGACACTACTCCAAAAGAACTTAGTCCCAGAGTTGGTGGGTGCCGTTAATTGGGTACCCCTATCTGAAATAATCTCCTGTGGAAATCCCATGCGGGAACATATTCGCATAAGGGCATCCGCTACAGTCTCGGCATGTACATTTGTTGGGGCCACTGCTTTGGGGTATCTGGTGGCGTAGTCCACTACGGTCAAGATGTACTTCTTGCTGGAGGGACTAGGCTTTTTCAGCGGTCCGATTAGGTCTACTGCTACTCGACTAAAAGGTTCTTCTATTATGGGTAAGGAGTGGAGTTTGGCTTTATAGCAGTCTCCCCTTTTCCCTACTCTCTGGCAGGTATCGCAGGTATTACAGTATTGTCTAATATCCTTGGAGATACCCGGCCAGAAGAAGTTCTGTGTCAGCCGATGTTTAGTTCGGCTGATCCCTAAATGACCCGACAACGGTATGTCGTGTGCTATATGCAGTAACTCCTATCTGTACTTCCGAGGCACAATTAACTGTTTTATGGGGATGGGGATAGACCCGGCTACTACCTTCTCTGCATACTGGTATAATAACCCTTTATCCCAAGCATATCTTTCTCCTTCTAAGCCTGCC